ACACACATGTGAAGGTAGAACTAGCCAGAGAATTTGAAGGAGCCAAAAGATTAGAACAGATTGCCAGAGTTAGTTTGAGGGTAACCAGAGCAATTCATTGAGGATCCAAGAGAAGCCGGATTCAATCAGCCAGCTTGGAGCAGAGTTTGAGCCAGAACAGCTAAGTTGAACCAGGCAGCCAGAGTTCAGAAAGAACAATAAAGGGTACGCTTATTCAGCAATAATTCTCAGGGGCTGAAAACATTCTAGGCCTCGATTAGATTGTATGGAAGCTAGAAGTTTCCAGGATTAGGCCTAGGTTAGCAGACTAAAGCAATAAGAATTAAAGAATTGAACAGCGACAAGTAATTAGGCAAATAAAAGTTACTTTTACAAAACATTAACTGAAAAAAAAAAGTGAAATCTGATGAGTTCCATCACCCTCAAGAATGACTACTAGTGGAGCTGTAGAGGTGTCTCAGTGAGGAAGTGCCTGCTGTATAAGCTGGAGGACCTAATTTCAGATCCTCAGCACTCAAGGAAAAGCTAGGTGAAGTATCCCACCTGAACTCTAGTGCTGCACGGTAGATAAAAGAAGAGCTGAGAAATCAGTGGTTATCCAGCTTAGGTCCAGGGTTAGTGAGAGATAGTCTCTCAAGTCTAAGATGAAGGGCTGTAGAGGAGGGCCTGAAGCAAACATCTAGTCTCCAAATGTGTTTTAGAAGCGAGTGCTACCCACACACACAGCCATGAACCCACACTGCCCTCACACTCAGACACTACATGAAAACTAAAAATGATCACTGTTTTATACAGGAAGAGTGAAGTGTAACTTAAGTTTTTCTTTCTGTATGTTCATCATTACAAACGCTCACTCTATTTCTGGTGGGAGTGAAAACTTGTGTAACCACTTTGGAAATCAATCTGGTGCTTTCTCAGAAAATTGGGACTAGTTATACCACAAGATTCAGCTATACCACTCCTGGGCATATTCCCAAAAGATGCTCCACCATACAACAAGGACACTTGCTCAATTATGTTCATAGCAGCTTTACTCATAATAGCCAGAAACTGGAAACAACCCAGAAGTCCCTCAATTGAAGAATGGATAAAAAAAAAAAAAAAAAAAAGTACATTTACACAATGGAATACTGCTCAGCTACTAAAAACAAGGAAATCATAAAATTTGCAGACAGATGAATGGAACTAGAAAAGATCATCCTGAGTGAGGTAACCCAGACCCAGCAAAAGACATACCACCACCAGAACCTAACATAAATGTCCTCTGAGAAGCTCCACCCAGCAGCAGATTGAAACAGATGCTGAGACTGGACGCCAAACATTAGGCAAAAAATTCTGGGCAGAGGGGTCTTTTCTGAGACTGATACCCTAAGGACCATGCATGGAGATAACCTAGAACCCCTGCACAGATGTAGCTCATGGCAGCTCAGTCTCCAGGTGGGTTCCCTAGTAATTCGAACAGGAACTGTCTCTGACATAAACTCAGTGGCTGGATCTTTGATCACCTCCCCCTAAAGGAGGAGCAGCCTTACCAGGCCACAGAGGAAAACAATGCATCCAGTCCTGCTAAGACTTGATAGGCTAGGGTCAGAGAGAAGGGGAGGAAGACCTCCCCTATGAATGGACATGGGGAGGGACATGGGAAGAGATGAGGGAGGGAAGTTGGGATTAGAAGGGAATGAGGGAGGGGGCTAGAGTAGGAATACAATGTGAATAAACTGCAATTTATAAAAATATAAATAAAATTTTAAAAAGTGAAAAAAAATGTCCTTATTGTGTAACTGAGCCTCTTTTGGATATATGCCTAGAAGTGATATAGCTGGATCTTGAGGAAGCACTATTCCTAGTTGTCTGAGAAAGTACCAGATTGATTTCCAAAGTGGTTGTACAAGTTTACATTTCCACTAGCAGTGGAGGAGGGTTCCCCTTTCTTCACAACCTATCCAGCATGTGTTGTCACTTGAGTTTTTGATCTTAGTCTTTCTGATGGGTGTAAGGTGAAATCCCAGGGTCATTTTGATTTGCATTTCCCTGATGACTAATGACGTTGAGCATTTCTTTGTTTCTCTGCCATTCTATATTCCTCTATTGAGAATTCTCTGTTTAGCTCTGTTCCCCATATTTTAATTGGATTACTTGATTTGTTGTTGTTTAACTTCTTTAGTTCTTTATATATATACTGGATATTGGCCCTCTGTCAGATATAGGGTTGGTGAAGATCCTTTCCCAATCTGTAGGTAGTTGTTTTTTTTCTGAGGACAGTGTAGCAGCTTTATTTGTAATAGCCAGAAGCTGGAAACAACCCAGATGTCCCTCAACTGAGGAATGGATACAGAAATTGTGGGGCATCTACACAATGGAATATACTACTCAGCAATAAAAATCAAGGAAATCATGAAATTTGCAGGTAAATGGTGGGAACTGGAAAAGATCATCCTGAGTGAGCTATCACAGAAACAGAAAGACACAGACAGTATATATTCACTCATATAGACATATAATATAGGATAAACCAACTAAAATCTGTACACCTAAAGAAACTAATCAAGAGGGAGGACTCTTGCTAAAATGCTCAATCCCCATCCAGAAAGGCAAAGAGGATGTACATCGGAAGAAGGAGAAAACAGGGAACAAGTTAGGAGCCTGCCACAGAGGGCCTCTGAAAGGCTCTGCCCTGCAGACTGTGAAAGCAAATGCCAAGACTTATGGCCAACCTTTGGGCAGAATGCAGGGAATCTTATGGGGAAGTGGGAAATAGTAAGATCTGGAGAGGACAGGAGTTCCACAAGGAAAGCAATAGAACCAAAAAATCTGAGCACATGGGTCTTTTCTGAGACTGATACTCCAACCAAGGACTATGCATGGAGATAACCTAGAATTTCTGCACAGATATAGCTCAAGACATCTCAGTTTCCAAGTGGGTTCCATAGTAATAGGAACAGGGACTGTCTCTGACATGAATTGATTGGCCTGATCTTTGATCATCTCCACTTGAGTGTGTGTGTGTGTGTGTGTGTGGTGGGGGGGGGGGTGAGTAGCCTTACCAGGCCACAGAGGAAGTCAATGCAGCCACTTCTGATGAGACCTAATAGACTAGGATCAGAAGGAAGGAAAAGAAGCCCTCCCCTATCAGTGGACTTGGAGAGGGGCATGTGTGGAGAGGAGGAGAAAGGGAGGGGTTGGGAGGGGAGGAGGGAGGGAGCTACAGGTGGGATACAAAGTGAATAAAGTGTAATAAATAAAAACATCTTTTAAATGTAATAAACTATAAAAATAAATGAAAAAAAAAAACATTAGGCAGAGCTCAGGGAGTCTTTTGGAAGAGCTGGGGGAAGGATAGAAGGACCAGGAGGGGACAAGAGCTCCAGAAGAAGACCAACAGAATCAACTAACGTAAGTCCATGGGTGCTCACAGAGACTGAAGCACCAACCAAAGAGCAAGTGTGGACTGGACCTGGTCTCTTACACATATACAGCTTGTTCTTCATGAGGAACCCCAAGCAATTAGAACGGGGTTGTCTCTGATGTGGATTCTGTTGCCTGTGTTTTGATTTTCTGTTAGCAGGGCTGCCTATCTGTCCTCAGTGGACGAGAATGTGCTTTAGGGAGCACAATGATCAAGGTATAAAGTGAATAAATACATTAATTAATGAGAAAAAAGGTAATTATGTGTCATGAATATCTCACCTAGTATTACAGACAATCCATGTGCAAACTGGGTAGACTACAGAGAAGCCAGAGAGACACAGTAGAGCATGAGAACTTTGATAACACCACTGGGATGGACATTCTTTGGCAAAATTCTGGAATGAAATAGGTTAATTGTACTTTCCCTTCTAGGAGGGCAAGTGCATAGAATATGTGGTCCTATGTAAAGTCCCCAACAGGGGACTTGCCTCCCTCCAGAGGAATCAGTGCAAAGCCAGTCTTTGTAACTAGTTGTTAATAGATAAACTAAAGCAGCCATGATTTTTTAGAAACTTGATAACATTAGACACAAGTACCTCTGGGATACCTGACTCTTAGCCAGTAGCTGTGTTGGTGTCTGTTTCCTTACTGTGTTCATCCTAATGAACAGTTGAGCCTAACACCTTTTTAGCACACTTATCAATGGCTGTCATCTGCTCCCTTGAAAATATTAGGAGGATCAGTTCTTCTGTGTCTATTATTTTTCTTTATTATCTTCTTAGAAATAGGAACCACAAAAGAAAAGTGAAATATGTAAAGTGACACTTCTGTAAACTTGAACACATAGTTTTCTACACCTTTTGAAAATAATCATAAGGGACTTGGGGTGGAGCTCCACTGAGGTAAGAATGCTTGCTCAGCAAGGACAAAGACCTGAATTGAAACCTCCAAGACCCACAGAAAAGTCAGGTAAGGCTGCGCCTACCTGTAACCCCAGCATTGCAAACAGAAACAGATGAATTCCAAGTGCTCACTCGCCAGCTAGTATAGTGCAATGGTTGGGCTTCAGTTCCTTGAAACACTTGTCTCAAAGTAATATGGGGAATAGAGGAAGACACCCAGTGTCCTAGTATATCTTTCTTGTGTGCTTGGGCCTATTACACACACACACACACACACA